CACATTCAGTAGAGAAGCGAAACATTTGCAGTTATCAGGGAGCCACTGAAGGCTTTTGTTCAGACATTTGCACTGAGGAACTTACATTGTGGGGCTGGATTATGGGGGCCTGACGGAAGCGGGGAAATCAGTGGGGAACTCTAACATTGATGAGAGGCTATGAGGGCCTAGAAGAGAAGGGCGAGGAGGAAGTTCTGTCTCATGGGAGGTTATGCAAATAAGACCTGGACACAGGGATTGGGGATGGGCAATGGCAGTGCCATTCAGGCTACATTTGCATAGCAAGGACTGGACTGGTTTCACCATTACTTAGATTGTGTTTATGTGGGAGACTTTGGGAGTACCCCCTCCCCTGGGTTCCTTTGGGAGAGATTAGATGTCACCTGATTTTTTGTGTCAGTGGAGAGGGAGATGACAATTAACAGTGTGAGAACACAGTAGGGATGCTGACAGAGGAAGAGGAAATGACCTTGGCCAGGCACAGTGGCTCACGCTTGTAATCTCAGCACTTCGGGAGGCCGAGGCAGGGGGATCATTTGAGGCCTGGAGTTTGAAACCAGCCTGGCCAACATGGTGAAACTCTGTCTACTGAAAATATAAAAATTAGCTGGGCGTGGTGGCGGGTGCCTGTAATCCCAGCTACTTGGGAGGCTGAGGCAGGAGAATAACTTGAACCCGGGAGGTGGAGGCTGCAGTGAGTGGAGACTGCGCCACTGAAGTCCAGCCTGGGCGACAGAGTGAGACACTGCCTCCAAAAAAAAAAAAAATAAATCTCAATTTAATTTTAATTAATTAATTTATTTAGAGATAGGGTATAGTGACTTCCCACTGTTCCAGCAATCACTGGTGCTTTACCAATTTGCCCATTCTGGTTGATTCATTTATCACACCTTTGTACACAGTTCCTTCCTCTTTGTTGTTGTTTTTTTTTTTTTTAAGAGACAGACTCTCACTCTGTAGCCCAGGCCGTAGTGCAGTGGTGCCATCATACCTTACTGCAGCCTCAAACTCTTGGGTTCAAGTGATCCCCCTCCCTCAGTCTCCCAGAATACTGGGCTTATAGACATGAGCCACCAAGCTTGGCCTGACCTGTTTTGTTTTTATTTATTTATCTTGAGACAGTGTTTCGCTCTTGTTGCCCGGGCTGGAGTGCAATGGCACAATCTTGGCTCACCGCAACTTCTGCCTCCTGGGCTCAAGGGATCCTCCTGTCTCAGCCTCCTAAGGAGCTGGGATTACAGGCGTGCTCCATCACACTTGGCTTTTCTTTTTTTTAGACAGGGTCTTACTCTATTGCCCAGGCTGGAGTGTAGTGGCACAATCTCAGCTCACTGCAGCCTCCACCTCCCAGGTTCAAGTGATTCTCTTGCCTCAGTCTCCCAAGTAGCTGGGATTACAGGCACCCAACACCATGCCCGGCTAATTTTTGTTTATTTATTTATTTATTTATTTATTTATTTATTTATGACAGAGTCTTGCTCTCTGGCCTAGGCTGGAGTGCAGTGGCACCATCACAGCTCACTGCAGCCTCCATCTCCCAGGTTCAAGCAATTCTCCTGCCTCAGCCTCCAGAGTAGCTGGGATTACAGGCACCCACCACCACTCCTGGCTAATTTTTGTATTTTAGTAGAGACAGGGTTTCACCACGTTGGCCAGGCTGGTCATGAACTAATGATCCACCCACCTCGGCCTCCCAAAGTGCTGGGATTACAGGCATGCGCCACCACACTGGGCGCTCTCTCTCTCTCTCTCTCTGTCTCTCTCCCCCCCCATCTACTTTGATTTTCTGCTAGTGTCCCCACTGGCTAAACCCAGTTGGAAGCCAAGGGCAGTGGTGATGTGGTCCATGCTGTCTGCACCCCTTCTTCCAGGCACAGAGCCAGCTGGATAGTGTGGACAGCCGGGTCTGAAAAGGCAGAGATTTTTAGTGCAGAGGATTCTCAGGGGTGTACCCCCAAGGAAAAACACCAGAGAAGCAGACGAGATGCTTAATAACATTACCTCTTTGAGCCCATTCTCTGTCTTGTGCCCTCGTCACTCTGTAGACCCAGAGTGATTTGTGACCCTTTGCCCAGAGTTTATGCCTTCAATAAACATGGCCCCTTTAAACAGGGATTAAGGGATCAGCCTAGTTCTTAGTAGAATAAACCAGAAGAGGAATCAGGAACTTGTGGTTTGGAGGCACCATGTGGGGAAAGGACTCAGCACAGTTATCTTCCTCTGTGAAACTCGGAGTTAAAACGAAGGATCTCGCACTTCCTTGCCTTAGCAGCAAAACCTTTTGCCAAGAGTTGAAGGAAACCTCCCCCAGGATATAAACTGCAAGACTCTGTGGGATGCATTTAATTCTGACCTTCTCTCCCAGCAATTTAGGAAACAATTCTTGTACCTTTTTTTTGATGGTGGGTAGGCGGGGAACAGGGTCTCACTCTCTCCCCCAGGCTGCAGTGCAGTGGGACAATCACTGCTTACTACAGCCTCAAACTCCCGAGGATTGCTCAAGCAATCCCCACTTAGCTGGGACTACTGGTGAGTACCACCACGTTCAGCTCATTTATATTTTAATTTTTGGGGGGGAGGGTACAGTGTTTTGCTCTTGTTGCCCAGGCTAGAGTGCAATGGTGTGATCTCAGCTCACTGCAACCTCCGCTTCCCAGGTTCAAGCAATTCTCCTGCCTCAGCCCCCTGAGTAGCTGGGATTACAGGCATGCACCATCATGCCTGGCTAATTTTGTATTTTTAGCAGACAGGGTTTCTCCATGTTGGTCAGGCTGGTCTCGAACTCCCGACCTCAGGTGATCTGCCCGTCTCAGCCTCCCAAAGTGCTGGGATTACAGGCATGAGCCACCACACCTGGCCTGTTTTAATTTTTTGGCCAAGA